AGCTTTCAAATTCCTCTAATATTCAGCTTCTTATCATCGAGAAACCTCCCTCCTTTGCCTTGAAGCTTATTTCCAATTTTCATGTAAACATATCTTAACAATCATCATGAAATCCAGAATTATCCTCATTCATTTCACTGGCCAAAATAGAGTGCAAAAATGACATATACATCCTCTTGTTGATGATGTGGCCTAAAATGTTGACCTCTTCCTTGGTTGAATAACGTTGATATAGCTCATAAACTTGACATGTCCTCTTGCTGATATAGCCATGAGTTGCTGCGTTTTTTCTAATTATTTTGATCATTTCTAAATTTCTAAAAAATAGCTGCAAAATGTCCTCATAAAGTTCCTGAAAAATCCAAGAAAATTTATTTCCAACTTTAACTTCATGATTAATTTCCTATCAATCGTAAGATGATTCTCAAGATTCTAAAGATTAGATAATCATGTTAACACAGATTAAAACTCAAAAATGTGTTAATATTACATAAATTATAAAATTTATCAAATCAAAGATAAATTTATCACATCATTCTCAAACTAGTACTAAGATATTTTAACTTAAAAAATTCATAACTGACGTTAATTGATATATCAAATATTTTGATTTCACCTTCATCATTATTTAAAATAAAAATTAGCATGCAGACCCTTCTTGAATGTTGTGAAGGTTATTTATATGACAACAATCCATACCTGGAATAGCAGAAAAATCATTGTCAACAGTTTACTACAATTGTTCTTACAACTACTGTCAATGTACCATGGTTAGTTCATGAGTACCATAGCATCGTGTTCCATTTTTTGTCCTGTGGTGCTAATATTTACTATTAGTTTTTAGATACTTAGCAAAAATTAATATATGCTATTGGTAATAAATTAGCAAGACTATTGTGTTTTGTTGAAGAACCACTAAAAACAATGGGGGGTGAATTGGTCTTCTAGTTTTTTGTTTGTTATCTAATTCTCACTTCATCTAAGTACCCACAAGTTTTTAGTTATTTGGCCTACCTTGCCTACTCCATTGTCTAAGGATGACATCATTAGTTTTACTAAATTCTAATGGAAATATATTGAAGATCTAGGCCTCAGGTAGAATTTCTAAACACAACAACTTCAACAAGGCTCCCCATATATTGAACACAATACCATCAGCACGCCTTTACTAAACACATGCTTCAACTAACCCACACGCTAAGTAGAAAAGCTTCACCAAGCTTCTATCGAGCACAAATACTTCAGCTAGCCTTATTTTGAATACAACCACGTCAATCCTCACCTAACAAAGCTTTCAACTGTCATACATGCTGAACACAATGACTTCAACAAGACTATACTGTATTTTTTTTATCTTGGTATGAAAAAAAGAATGAGTTAATGTCCTTACATATTTATCACTTAGCTTTCTTTGGGTGAAGTCCTTTGTTTAATGATGTGATAGAAGTTGGCGCATGAAGCTCTTAAAAAGCTTTGAACGGTTGTCTATTTTATTTACTTTCCATGCTCGAATATCTGATAAACTCATGTATATACTTTTTTCTATGTATGCAATCATTGTATGTTACATTTTCTTGCCTCTATTCTTTTCTTGCCTTATACTTGTGGACCAAAGTACACTCTTTGTATGTTACATTTTTGGTCATACAACTGTGATTCATGATTGGTAGAAATCATGTCGCTGTGTTTCATGCGATTGCCTTGACCTTAGTGCCATAAAAGTTCTTGTTATATTTTGAATTTTTGCGTGTCATTAGTTGCATCATATCATCTTTCAAGTAACATACAAAAGATAGGAGAGTTGCATATTTTCCTATGTATTGTCTCGAGATCCAACATCTCAAGATAGGAGAGTTGCATAGGTTGGAGCAATAATTGTTCCAACAAGTGTGACAAGACATCTGCCACATGATTCTCAACAAATCTCGAAATCAAAGGATATGATATTTGCCAACCTTTTTTGGTAATCCAGTGACAATTGTTGTTGCTCTAGAAGATATTTTAAGCTCCACTGATCTGTGTAGATAATGAATCTGAGCCGTAGCAAGTAATGGCACTTGGACATGGCCAAAACGATCACGATCAACTTGCGCTTGTACGTGGGTTTCTGTTGATGGGTCAACACTGACACTTGGCTAAAGAAGGCCACAGGCTGGCATTACTGCATGAAGACGGCTCTCACCTTGCGGCCAGAGGGGCCTACCTTTAATTTGAAGGATGCGGTGTAATTCGGAAGGGCCAGATAAGTACTATCATCAAGGTCTGCTTAAGGTGTTGGAACTCCTCCTTTGCTGCTAGGTTCCATCTAAAGGAGTCCTTTCTCAATTGTTGTTTTAGAGGCCAAGCCATTGGGCAAAAGGCTTTGACGACGCATTTGTAATACTGGCAAGACCCAGAAATCCTCTAAGTTCTCAAAGGTTCATCGGGGATGACCATCTATTGACCATGCCAACTTTCTCTAGGTCCATGACCACGCCTTCCAGTAATATTCGGTGGCTGAGGTAAGATTTTTGGAACTATCTGAACTTGTATTTCTGGGGTTAATGTGAAATTATTGTGCTTAAAACATGACGAATACCTTTGATAGGTGCACAATATGATCCGCTTGTCATGCTGTAGATCAGAATATCATTCAATAAAATCAATATAGATTTCCGTAAAAATTTGGACAGGAGACGATTCATGACTGTTTGGAAGTTCACCATAGTGTTGGTTGGCTCAAAGGATATTATGAGGAATTCGTATGTCCTTTGTGAGTTTTGAAGGTTGTCAGGATGTCTTGTAGACAAATATGAATTTGGTGGTAACTTGATTGTAGATCTAGCTTGGCAAAGACTATAGTGATGTGCAATTCGTTGATCAGCTCCTCCACAATCAGAATGGGAACATGGTCTAGAATAGTTGCCTTATTCAGAATATGATAGTCTTATGGAAAACCACTAGGATCCATCTTTTTTCTCGATGAGGAGAGCTGACCTCAAGAAGTGGCTGGGAGTGTTGGATGAGCCCAGTTGCCAACATTTCAGCAACATATTTATCGTGTTTCATCTTTTGAAAGTGGGGATAATAGAATGTTCTGTTTCAGCAACATCCATCACATGGATGGCCTGTACTTCACGAGATCTATTTCAGAAGATTCTCGATCCCTTCCTAGTTTCATTGCTCACTGCTTGACCAGTCAGTTCCTACTCTTTTGTATTGGCTCAAGTTTGGTGAGAGCGCATTCCACTTGGGCGACCTCCTACCACTGAAGACTCAACAGATTGCCTCAAGTCTGATGATTTTCATGCCATATTTAGTGGACGGTTGGCCTAGTTTGGTCGTTGGTATGGTCCAATCCTATCCTCTTGAATTGATGAAGTGCTGGGTCATTGAAAGCTTATATTCACATAAATTGTGCTGTTATATGGAAAATCCTACAATATCATTGGAAAGCTGTTCAATAGATCTTTAGATTCCTGTGAGGAATCATAAATACATATCTTCATTTTGGAAAATAGAAAGATTATTGATTGAGGTAGTAAAAGAAGGCATTCGACTGAAGGGTTTCTTCAGTGAGTTATATAATGATGAGGAAGTAATCAATCTATTTTGTTGTAGCCAAAGTGCTATTCATCTCTCAAAAGACCAAATGTTTCATGAACGCACAAAATACACTGACATAACTTATCATTTTGTGTGTGTCATATTCATAAGAGGAGATTTATACATCAAGAAGATAAGCACTCATGAGAACCCAACTGACATGATGACCAAAAGTATTAACTCAAGATAAATATGATTTATTTCAGCAGTTTATTGGGCTTTATCATGATTGATCTTTCTGACGCTCGACTGCTTCGATCAAAAGGAAGATATGTTAAACTTAGTCAAATTTGAGTGTTTCCTGCAGAGTGCCATCATCATAGCAAAGGACGGGAAGTTTCCGTCTTTGATGCTGCGTGACAATTACAAATATAGTAGAAGGCACACAAATTGACATTGTCATTTTTACTCTTCTTTCTTCTTGATTCTATTCTGCATTTTTTTACCTTTCGGTTGTCTGTTTTCTAGTTCTGTTGTAAACTCTTTTCCATTAAGAGGTTTATTTTAGTGGAGCATTTTGCTTTGGAGATTTCCTTTGTCTTTATTCGTACACTTATGTCAACCTTTCCGCCGTTATTTGACTTCTGTACATTTGCACGTATTATGTTGGAAAATATATTGAAACAGTCTGTGGGTCCCACAAATCCGATATATCGACACAACCGCCCCCCTCTATCTGGCAGTGTCTATCTCGCTCTTTGCCGTTGGATGGGGACTTGCGCATGAGTCTCCGCCACGATCGTAAAAGCATGGTCGTCGATAACCAATCATGACATAGGCATTGATGGGATTCTGAATGATGAGACCCAGGTAGCCGGAATGGGCCCCACCTGGATTTGCTCCCATTCAGGACTTCACGATCAGAAGCATGGGCTGGAAATGATTGGCCCCAGCCCGACCGGGCCACTCAAATACAAGCTTACGAAAACACAAGGTATGAATATAATTATTTTATGTATAATAAATTAACTTATTGAAGAAAAAATGGTTCCTTCCTAACTCTCGTATACGAAATTTTGATTTCTCCAAACTCGTATAGGGACGGCTGCGTTCTTATGCCTGTCGATCTGGCTTCCTCAAGATTTGCTCCCTCTCTCTCTCTCTCTCTCTCTCTCTCTCTCCCTCTCTCTCTCTTGATCTCTCTCTCTCGATCTATCTATCTACATATCTATCTATCTATCTATCTATCTATGTGTCTAGCTATCTATCAATCTATCTGGAGCGGATATTAATCTCTTGGCCGTATGACTAACCTCGTAGAAGCCAGGTGAAGGCGTAGAGAGACCGGCATCGCCGTCGGAGGGGTATATGACTTGAGGCCATTTCACAATTAGAGTGAAATCGACCCTTACAGTGTCCGCCTCAGCTCTCATCCATTTATTCAGGACACTCCTTCTAACGGAGGAGAGACTCCGTCACTGGGCGTGGCGGTGAAGCAGACAGGCGCAGTTCTCGCGACCGACGTCCGCTGCGATGCACGGGGAAGGGATCTCGCCGCGGCGGGACCAAACACAGCGGCGCTGCACCAGCTCGTCGACGAAGACGCAGAGCTTCTCCACGGTAACATTGGGCATCACGACCAGTGGGAGATGCTCCCATCGCACAGGAGCTGCCACTTGCGGACAAAGTCCTCGTCCTGCGGACGCTCGAACACAACGGTGCAGCTAAGCTCGTTGAGCATCGCCCCGATGCCTGCCGCCCGGAGGCGGCCCCTCAAGAAGTGAGCGTTGAGCAGGCACCTCTGGACCTCCTTCTCGAACCCACGGTATCCCTGCGGTTCAGCGCGTACCAGAGGAAGAGCGGGGCGTGGCCGTTGCGGCTGCCCAAGATGGTAGTGTCCCTGGAAGCGAGGTACTTGACGTCCCGCGAGAGGGCGTTGATGTGGCTCTTCCGCGTTATCTGCACCCCGCAGGGAACTGGGCAACCCACGAACTTGTGCCCGGAGATGCTCATGCTGCCGATCGGCTTCCTGAACGTCACCTTCGGCGCCTGCGGAAACCGAAATCTCAGTCATTCGGTGTAGTTCGAGCTCGGGGAGGTCCTCCACAACGGCGTGGTATGGGACTCTCGTGCTTGAGGAAGGGCAGCATGAGGCCGAAGAGAGCTCTGTCGCAGTGGATGTAGAAGCGATCCTCGAAGCCCGACTCCTCAAGGATCTTGATGACGAGATCCAGATCGTCGATCGCCCCCTTGACCGTCGTCCCTGAGCCGCGACATTGTTATCAGAGCTGAAGCGAGAACCCTTTGTGAAGAACTAAAGGAAGGGAGAGGAGGAGAAAGGTCTGTGAGGTATTCGGAGCGGAGCGGACCGATGTTGACGTTAACGATGGCGGGTCTCTCCTTGTTGGGAAGAAGTTTGGCCTGGAAGTCGGAGCAGTCGATCTCGCCGGATACCAGTGTCTCCACCTTCACGCAATCCGTTCTATACAACCTCGCGGCCTTGAACAGCGAGTAGTGGGACTCCTTGGAAGTATACAGAACTCCATCCGGGAAGATCTCGCGCCTGCGCCGGTCAAGCAGAAGCGTCGCACGAGAGGACGGAGACGGTGAGAGAGACAGTGAAAGAGACAGAGGGATCGAGAAAAAGAGATGTCTTATAGGATCAGCGACGAACCCGATTAGGATGCCATGCAGATTGCCTTCCGTGCCACCGTTGGTGACGTAGCCCCAGTACTCGTTCTTCTCCAGCTCCCACAGGCGGGCGAACCAGTCCAGAACCCCCACCTCGAACTGCCTTGAGTTGATGCCATAGCCGCTGTCGATGAAGGGATCCCCCAGGTTGTTCATGGCGAAGGATTGGAATTGCAAGAGAGCGCCGTACTCGAAGTCTAGATTACAAGGAAACCCTACAATACAGTGGATGAGGAAATATTCACGTGAGACTAGCGATTCGATCTCGTCTCAGTGCAAGATCAACGACCGTTCCCTTACCTAGTTGGTTCTTGGTCCTTTCTTCGAGGTTATGTCCGTACTTGGCCAGCACGCTGGCCATGTAAGCCTCCCTGTCGCCGGTGAGTTCATCGTCGGCGTCGGGCTCTGTAATCTCAAAGCTTGACGAGTCCAGGTTCCTCTCCAGTTCGTTTTTCTTCTTCCCCTCATTTTCATTCCCCAACTTACCGGAACGGGTCCCGTAGATTACGGCCGGTTCGACTTCCTCTGCTGGCGGCTTCACCTTCCGGATGACCTGGAGTAGTCCGGAGGCGTTTACGACGTTTCCAACCATGGCGACTAGAAGGAAGGAAGAAAGAGAGGGTCGGAAGGGAGGCGAGAAAAATATACGTTTGCTTCTCTCTCTCTTCTTTATCTCTCCTCAGGGATAAGGTATTCCCGTCTCTTCTCCCTCTCTCTCTTTCTCTCTCGACTGCAACTCCGGTTTTCTGGGGTAGACAAGAACCTGAGAGCTGGTGTTGTGATGTCCCGGCGAAGGAGAAGTGCCAATGTGCCCCTCCTTAAATCGGCGGTGAAGCGTCACCTCGGAAGCCACGCCCGGACGCTCCACGTCTGTGATGGGCGCTCCAATCCGCTTCACGGTGATGATGAGCTGTCAGGGCCAACCTTGCGTGGTGTCCTTGGAGTGGGCAATCCCATTCTCATTTATGAACACGTGGCTTGAGTCGTAGGTCTTTAAAGCTTGCTGTCCACTTAAATTATCATTAACTACGGACTCTGCACGATCTAAACGTGTGAAATCTTTGAACATTCTGTTAACCCACCCCAATTCCCATTTGATCAACACTTTCCACATAGTTTAGGAGCTGGTCTACACACTAGACAGCGTGTCTCTCTCTCTCTCTCTGGACATGCATATCGACGATTGCATCTTTAATTCCTCATAGATTTCCTTTCAATCTCTCTGTCTTAATCTATGTATCTCGCCCTCTATGACACGGCGAGAGTTGCGTGAACGAAGAAAATTCATGGTTGAAACCACAAGACATTGATATCTCAACGAATAAATGAGGACTTGAATCCATGGAATACCGAACCTTAGATCTTTGGATACTTAGAGATTTGTTTGAGCAACCAATGAATCCACAAAAATTAATATATTTCCTTGAATCCAGGGAGGGCACGTGATTTCAGTAGTAGAGAGAGGAAAAACCTAAAAGAGGAAAAATGGTATCACACAGAATTTAAGAGAAGCCTAACTTCGATATCTCGATCCATTCTCTCTGGATGTTCGAGATCCTTTCCAGAGATTCCCTTTCAGCAATGGCACCAGATTTCTCTCCTTCGGCAATGACAATGACAACATATTAAATATATTTTAAGCTCTAACAAAATTTCTACATCACATCGACCAAAGTTGATGCAGAAGGTTTTTAAAAGAATGCGAAGACTATAAAATCAAGTAGATTCACTCAATAATTAAAGCGAATGTGAGTGGACTTCGAAATTATCTAGAAACACCCGCAATTAAATAAACAAAAAAGGAACCGACAGTTTAAGAAAACTGCTGAAAGGACACCCAGATTTATCACATCAGAAAATATTCTTATCATGGTTTAAGATCTGCTGAATATTAATTACTAGCTATCCTATGGTCTCTCTGGCAACAAAGAGCAAGGGAAAATATTAAATGCACATATTTAAATGGAGAAAGAAAGGAAGTTCACTATCGTTGTAGAAAGGTCGCTGTTCTATCAGAGATGATGCAGAGTAAACCACAGGTTTATTGGCAGAGATAGACATCAGTTGGATCACTGGAACTCTTGACTTGTCTAGCGTTGAGTGGTATTGCGAATGTAGGTCAATGGGTATCGACAAAAGATGAATGGGAGAAGAGAAAGGCTCCAGACTGAGAGTAATAGGGTCCTGTCGACCAACTTGAGCCGGGGTGGCAAGATCAAAAGATGAATGATGAATCACTTATCAAAAACTTTCTTGAAAATAAAAACATTATATCCTTTGTCTTAGAGTCTCATCCCTATTTTATAGTTTAAAATAGTAATCATGAATGCAATTAATAGTACAAAAAATCGTTCTTTTCAGAGCGTTTATGGTTCCATTGTGGACGTTGAATACTCTGGAGCTGTTCTTCAATTTTGTAGTTGATTTTGTGCTTTTATTCTCATTGAGCTGTTCTGTCGGAGAGTGGTTATGCTGAAGCTGTTCCTTTTGACTAGTTCCTCCATTTCCTTTCAGCTGATGACCTGGCTGAGAATGACTCGATACTGCATCAACTCCCCCCAGGTTGGAAGAACATGGCTCCGTCAAGTTATGGTCTATTATATGTTGACAATGCTTCCACCAATCTGGATGTAGTTGCTCTAAATCATCACTTGAAATCCACGAATCATCCAATGGAGGATGATCTTTCCAACGAATGAAAAACCTCTATTTTTCTCCATCAAGATCAGATATCATTTGTCCATCTAATATAATCTCTTTTTGCTCTTATTGCGTAGGAAAATTAGCTGGTAGACGTTCAGGTGTGATGTCACCCACAATAAATGGATTAGTCTCAAATAACTCACTAGGAATATTTGGCGGTCCATGATAAGGAATAAGGTCTGAAATGTTAAAAAAAACATTGATTTCTCATTCAGCTGGAATATCTAAAACATAAGCATTTGATCCTACTCGTTTAATAATTGTATAAGGCCCTGCTCTTCGAGCATGAAGCTTCGAGATAGTTCCAGCAAGAAATTGACCTAGATGTAATCTGATCATGATGAGATCCCCTTCAATAGACTCTTTGAATCTCTTTCATTTATCTGCTATTCGTTTATAGTTTCATTACTATTATTGATGCGTTGATGTATCTCCTCATGTATATTTTGTATGTGTTTAGCAAAGAATTCAGCCGAGATAGAGGTTCTATATTGTGATGCAGATGAACATAAGTCGCTAGGTTTTCTAAGCTGATTTCCATAGACAATTTCAAAGGGACTAGATCCCATCGTACGATTGATAGAACTATTATAAGTAAATTCTGTAAGAGGGAAGATTTAATCCCAAGTTCCTAGATGATCACCTACGAGGCTTCTTAACAAGCTTCCCAAGCTATGGTTAACTATTTCAGTTTGACCATCTGTCTGAGGATGAAATGCAGTAGAGTATTGTAATTTAGTGCCCATTGTGAACCAATGAGTTTTCCAAAAATAGCTTATAAATTTGGAATCACGATTAGACGTAATGGTCTGTGGAATACCATGCAATCATATGATCTCACTAAAATAAATCTTAGTAATTTTTGAAGCATCGTATGTCTTTGAATAAGGAATAAAGTGAGCCATCTTAGAGAATCTATCAACTATAACAAAGATAGAATTATTCTTTTTTGATGTTCGTGGCAAACCTAATACAAAATCCATACAAACGTCTTCCCATGGATGGTGCGGAACAAGAAAAGGTGTATATAATCCTGTGTTTTGTTTAAGAGATTTAGTTAAAACATAAACACCACACTGAGGAACTATTTTAGCTACATCCGTTTTTAATCCTGGCCAAAAGAAACGTTCTCCAACTAAATGGATGGTCTTATCTCTTCTGAAATGACCAGCTAACCCCCCTGCATGTATTTTCAAAATAAAAAAGTTTCTTATAGAGGCTCGTGAAATACACAAACGGTTATTCTTATAGAGATAACCATCTTGAATTAAATAATATTAATGTTCTAAAGATGGTCCTTATGTAAGTCTTAAGTAGACTTCAGAAAAATCCAAACATTCAAGGTATATTTCTCTAATACGTTCTAATCCCATGATTTGTGGCATGAGTGTTTCTAGTATGGTAATTCTTCAACTTAAGGCATCAACTACGCAGTTTTCACACCCTAGTTTAAACTTGAGTACAAATGTATAACTCTATATGAACTCAACCCAACGACCATGCCTAGCATTGAGTTTTTGTTGTGATTGTGAAAATCAAATGGCTTCATGGTCTGAAAAGAGAATAAATTCCTAGGGTAGTAGATAATGATGCCAATATCTGAGAGCTTGAATTACCACATATAATTCTTTATCCTAAGTTGAATATTTTTTCTTAACTTCATTAAGTTTTTCACTAAAATATGCCACATGATGTCCCTCTTGACTAAGCACCCTTCCTATTCCTATTCCTGACACATCACATGCCACTTCAAAAGGTTTAGAAAAATCAGGTAGCCTAAGAATAGGAGCTCTAGTCATTTGTTATTTCAAAATAATCAAAAGCTCTAGATGTTTCCTCTGCCCAATTAAATTATCTTGTTTTCATTCCATTTGTAATCGGGGCCATGATTGTGCTGGATATTTTTATAAATCGTTTATAAAGAGGGGCCAAACCATGAAAACTTCTAAGATCATGTAGATTCTTAGGTTCAGGCCATTTCACAATAACGTTAACCTTTTGTGGATCTGTAGTGACTCCTGGAGATGTTATTACAAATCCTAAAAAAGTAACTTGTTTATTGAAGAAAATGCAGTTATGCAAAGTAACAATCAATAACTTCTTTCTCAAGGTATCACAGATCGTACATAAATGTGTAAAGAGTCCATTGATGATTTTGCTGTAAATTAGAATATTATCAAAATAAACGACAACGAATTTTCCAAGAAAAGATCTCAACACGAGTCAATAATCGCAAGAAGGTACTTGGTGCATTAGATAATCTGAATGGCATTACTAGCCACTCATATAATCCGTTTTTGTTTTGAAAACTATTTTCCACTCATCAGGTTTGATTCTTACTTAATAGTAACCGCTTTTTAAATCTATTTTTGAGGATATAGAAGCTCCAGCTAATGTGTCTAATAAATCATCTAGCTGCGGGATGGAAAATTGATATTTGATGGTGATGTTATTAATGGCATGACTATCAATACACATCCTCCACGTTCCATCTTTCTTTGGGCCTAATAGCATGGTGATCTTATTAAGGGTTGAGGCATTCCTGAACAAATCTTTTTCTTAATAATTTTTTAATTTGACGTCATAATTCATCATGTTCTTTAGGACTGAGTCGGTAATGTGGAAGGTTTGGTAAAATGGAATCTTGGAATTAAATCAATGACATGCTGGATGCTTCTCATCGGAGGTAATTGGTCAGGAAGATCTCTGAGGAAAATGTCTTGTTCTTCTTCTAAAATTGTCTCAACTTCTGTCGAAAGGACATCTATAATTTTTCTTCGTTCTATATTTCGTTAATGTGCTATCCAAACTGATGATCCAATTTCTAATTTTTTTTAGAGGGATCAGTGCACTAATTAGACTAATGCTAGGATCTGAATTAGTGTCATC